GCTGTAGGTCGGTGAGGTTCTGTAGGTCGGTGAGGTTCTGTAGGTCGGTGAGGTTCTGTAGGTCGGTGAGGTTCTGTAGGTCGGTGAGGTTCTGTAGGTCGGTGAGGTTCTGTAGGGCTAAGCCAGCAGTTTTGCTGCACATCCTGACAATCCCTGAGAGTTTGTTCCTGTTTTTACATGTTAACAATCTAAACCAACAGATGAAGGTGGAAGTTAAGAGACTAAATAAAACACAAATAAGTTAAAACAGGGTTTGTGTAAAACAACCACTGCAAATAAAAATTAATAGAAAGAGTTGGTGGGTAGGCAGCATTGACTAAATATCTCAGTAATTGCTGTTAAATATTTAGGAGAAAAAACTTGGACATGCTTCCATGTTAAAAAGTCATAAACTTATGTCACACTACTGAAACCAGTTTTTATCGTTTTAATCCATAAATTACGTATTTAACGTCTTCTGTCATCCAATCAGAGGGTGCTGCAGCACCCTGCATACCCCTAGTTCCTGCAGCCTCCGCTGTTTGCGTGTTGTTTTTTGTGTGCGCTCATTTTGCTGACCTTTCTGCGATGTGCAGCTGCTGAGCCTCGAGAGCCAACTTGCTGAGAGTCTTCCACATGGCCTCGGTCTCCAGGGACATCTCCAGTGTCTCCAGAAACGCCATGGCTCTAAAACACACACACACACACACACACACACACACACACACACACAAGCTGAGCTAAGGTAGAGCATGAGGAGAGTATCTTCATGTAGCTGATAAACCTTGAACTGAAGAACGATGCCCGTCTCAGCTCCTGTGACAGGTCTTTGCTGTGAGTTTGTTTTCCGGTGTCAGAGACTCGTCGTGAACTGTAGAGATTTTTTAGGCCTGACACATCTTCCTCCGTCATACAGCTCACTCAGTTTGTTTAAAGCAGACATTGCTGAGATATGCCACATTGTTGACAAAAACTCTGGGGATTTCCCAGTTGGTGCAAAAATATATATTTTTTGTTTGTTTAGCAAAAAAATATATATTTTTTGTTTGTTTAGCAAAAAAATGACAGGTCGGTGGGACACAAACATTATGCTATAGCTGCCAAATTACAGAAAGAAAATTAAAAAATGTAGGCCTGGTGTATCTAGATTGAACTAAATGGAAGAAAAATGACAGCTAGAAGAAAAATACACTCAAGAAAAGTCGATTTACGACCTCTTTTTGCGCGTACCATCTGAGGTTTAGTCAGATAAAACCATTTAATAACTTCTGGAAATCGCAGTACTAAAAAAAAAAATTAATGTGTTAAAAAGTTAGATGACTCGTCAGAAAGGGGAAATAAATAAACAGAATAATCTTTTGCAAGTCCAAACAGTTCCGCTGCTGGTCGTCTAAAACAGGAGGTCAATTATCATTTCCTCCTTCTGATCAGAAGCTTTCACAATCTCGGAGGTGTTAAAGTCACGACGCTCGTCATCTCTACCAGCTGGCCTGGGATCGATGAGGAAATGACGGAGAAGAGCAGGAAGAGGCTGCTGGATAAAAGGACATCTGGCTTCTTCTGCCCGCCCTGCCGTCACTGGGGTGGAGGCCCAGAGAGGAGCGCTGAGAGGCGTTTACGCAGCGTCACATTCATCGCTCTTCATCAGCATCTTGTTTATGAGTGTGAGGTCTGAACTCACCTGTTGTAATCTCCATCATCAACAGCCGTGCCGAACTCGATGAGGCCCTCATCCAAGGTGTATGTCACCAGGTTGACGCCTTCAGTCACCACCACATCGGTCTTCCCATCGGCTCTTTCCAGATCCACAACGTCTCCCTAAAAACAAACCAATAAACTGAAAGAGGCCCGTGATTAAATGCAGTTTTTTAAGCGTCATCACTTCATCTTCTTAATTTTTATAGGATTTAAGCTTTTAACCGTTTCTAACATTATCCTATTTATGGCGCCATTTTGAACGTAAAACCACTTCTTTTAGTTTGTTCAGTTCGTTTTTATTCACAATATGAACATGTAAAGATGACGCGCGGTCAAGAGTAGGAATATTAACGTTTCTCAAGTCAACTCTTTGAACTATTCCTAAAACATTTACCTATGTACTGATAAACTGTCACAAATAATCACTGAGCTGCTTTTTTATTCTATTTAAAATGGCTTTAATAGTTTAAAATTATGCTGTTACTTGATAATAAAGAAACACGCAAATAAATGTTTTCCAGTCAATATAACATCATCATAAGAGCAGCGATAACAATTTTTTTTTGTCTTCGAAACAGAAAGTTTGGCACCTTGCACTTGGCACAGTTGGCTGCTCGGCACAGATTTTAACACCAGCAAGCGTTGCGTAAGAAAGTTTCTGAATCCCGAGCAAGCCGACGGCAATTAACTGCCTCAGGACGGCCACACAAGGAGCTTGGGTTCGAACAGGAGCGAGAGAGAGAGAAAAAATAATCAAAAAACTTAAGAAAGTTCAGGTAAATTTTGTGGTTTAGGAGTAAAAAGTAACTGCATCATTTATTTTTTTCATTTGCAAATAATGAGAATATTTTATCATCCATAAGCAAATACATTATTTGGGTTGTTATAAAACATTTTGATAACATTTAAAGGAAAATGTAGCCATTTTTTATTTAAAACCCAGCAGTTAGTCAGATGTTGAAAGGGGCAACCTGCTGCTCTGAAGGTGCATTCATTGTGTTTGTTACAGTAACCATGGCGATATCTGCATCGTGCCATGGAGGTTGTTTTACTTGATTATTTTAAAAGACTAAAACTAGAGCCTGTGATGGACTTGCAACCCGTCCAGGGTGCACCCCGCCCCTCGCACAGTGATTGCTGGACATGGGCACCGGCGACCCCCGTGACCCAAAATGGAAGAAGTGGGTAAAAGATGATGGATGGATGAAACTAGAGTACAACTGGCCATGATCAGACCGTTTATCGTATGGCAGTGCTGAGATTTTAATCCATAAATTTATCTCAGCTTGTTAAGATTACTGCAGTGCACTTTACGTCGAGCTGAGCCACTCGTTGCTTCAGCTGATGTTGCTATACAACTTTTAACTCGCACCAGAAAACAGCCCTGTTTTAGCATCACTACTGGCTTCCAGCTCATTTCCAGATTGATTTAAAAATGCTTTGTTTGATTTTAAAAGTAGTGATGGTCTCGCCCCGCAGTGTCTGTCCGACCTGCAGAGGTCAGAAGAGCGGCTCCTGTTGGTCGTCCTGAAGAGTCTGAGAGGCGACCGAGCATTTTCAGTCGTTGTCTCTAAACCGTGGAATGAGCTGCATTTACGCACGAGACAGGCCGAATCACTTCCTGTTCTTAAAAACACTGTTGTCTTTTACCGTTTTAATGGTTGTAACTGTTAATTATTTTTGAGTGTTTTAATGGACTTTGTTAATTCTTGTTTAGAACTTTGATGTTTTACTTCGTTCTTTAATCCATGTGCAGCACTTTAGCCAAAATTGTTTAAAAAAGTGTTTTATCAATAAAGTTGTATTGTATAAAACAAAAGAAGAGTTTGGGGTTTAATAGGATAAAAAAAAAAAACTGAGTGAGCACCTGGTGATAAAAGTGAAAAGAATAAAATATCGTAATAAACTTGAATAACTTGGACTCTTTAATCTCCAGCCTGAGATGAGGTGTTTCCAGACACTGAGTCTCACCTTGACTGGGAACATGGTGATGCTCTCTGGGCTGTCAATGCTGTACCAGATGCAGAGGTTCCCCCTGTTCTGGGCCACCACCACATCGCTGCCCGGCACCCACTGGACGTAAGAGCAG